ACACACACACACACACACACACACACACACAATTATTATGTCATATGGTTTTCTTCAAGGATCTAGCTGTAGAATTTCCAGTTCTGCTTGAGGCACTTTTAGCAAGAACATCTTATTATTTCAGCCAGAATAACCATGTAGTACAAAACTGACAGAAGTGCAGAGGTTTGGGACTTCAGTAACCCACTTTGGTCTCAACCCTGCTCGAGATATATATGTTAGCTTGTCAGTCCAGTCAGATAAAGTAAGATTTTAATTATTCATGACCTTTGCACAGAACTCAATTTCAAAAGATCTGAAATAATTCTTTTAGAAATTGAAGTGCAGGTAAATGTCTCAGCAAAAAATACCTTTTGTATCAAACCACCATATCAGTCAGGATTAGATAATTTCTCCGAAGATAGCTGTCAGATTGTACTTAGCAGTAGGTGAAACTGTGAATTTGCCACATGCTTTTATTTTAGATCACCTGCTGACAAATTTGGACACCTGGTGTCTGAAATGTGTCAAATACATTAGATGAAAAAGGGACAAAATGTGATATGATGTAGAGGCACAGAAATGTTTCCAATTAAAATGTTTCAGCTGATTTGTTGTGAAAGGGAGGCACACACGTTTCAATTATAGTAGTTATGAGCTGTTTTTTTTACTCGCTTTGTTTTAAGTGACAAACTAAAATGGATCTAATTATAAACATAGCAGGGTCCTATAATTTGTCTCTTTGATTTTTTACTGCAGTCAGAATTTTACTGGTGGCATAGCTCAGTATACACTTTTATTAATGTTACTAATTATCAATATTTGTCTTGTTGGTTTCCAAAACTATTGATTATAAAATGAACTGATTTGTTTTAGCTGACAGAGCAGGAAAGAGGCAGGATTTATTTCAATTGAAAAGGTTGAATCATTTAATGTAGCAAAGTATAAAGGCCTTAATTATTTCAAAGATGGTCTCTCTTTCTCACTTAGCTTGTCCGGATAAGTAGCAGAGATGGAAGAGTGAGGTTTGGATAAGTAGGCGGAACAGCTGGTTTGCATTTTGATTTACTCTGCAGTGAAACTCCCTCCTGGGAAAAAGTTTGCCTTCAAAATGTTTCTGGCAGGAAAGTGAAGCACTTTAAACAAGTCAGCAAGGTTTTTCTAAAAGATGAACAAAGGCAGGTCTTACACAGGACTATCATCCATACGAATGAAGTGGGAATTCTAATAAACGCTGAGTCATTTTTTATTTTCTTTCCATTTACTTTTTCAGATTATTTAAATAGGAGTCTTATAGTTTACGTAACAGAATTTAACTTGACTTTAAAAATAACTTTCACCACAATGACACTTTTTCCCTCAGAAAATATTAAACAAAACATATTTGACCAACTATTACTATTTATTCTTAGTCTAAGATGAATGCTTATTATATATGTTTTATATATTTTTGGTAAAATTATGGATTTTTTTAAATCTATGAAAAGCCATTACTCTTATATCTTTTCCAATCCCTGATGTAAGACTTTGTTAATCAACTGCATGTTTTGTAAAACAACAGTAATTTAAACACTGTGTCAAAAAGAAAAAAGAAAGAAAGAAACTAAACCCATCTGGAGTCCATCCATTTCTATACAGAACATAGCAAAAACAATAGATTGTATGGTATTTCTTCTTCTTTGTGCCTGGTCCCTGAAACATACCCGTCTTACCTGTGGTTTTAAAGATAATGATAGTAATAATAATAATAAACTGTAGCTGTTTTGCATGTTACAGTTAACACATTTTTGTTATTTGTTTGTTTCAGTTTTTTCCACAATTTTCAGTTTATTGGTTTGCATGGCTCCCTGTTTTTTTAATTGTATTTTTTTTACATTTCAAGGTTTTTTCTTGTACATGATTATTGTCATATGGTGGGTTGTGAAATGGTTTGTATTGGATTGCCTTAAATTGAAATTATTAAAAAAAACACAACCACTTTTATATAAGCTTGTGGAGAGTTTACTTTGATGTCAATGCTGCAGTTTTATTACTTTGTTTTGGCCTAAAGATTAAACTGTTTTTTTTTTTTAGGGTCTGGAGATTTAGAAACAATAATTAAGCCTGTTTGGTGTTGAAAATTAAAAAAAGAAAAACAATCCATCCTCACCACTTTTTGAGCCTCTGCTTTATTTAACAATTGCTGTGGTGAAGGTTTCTCTCAGACATCTCACTTCATCTGAAGTTCCAAGCTCCTTAGAAGCATTTTTCTCATCTTCAATAACTTTAAATATCACAAATGTCACTTTAATGTTGTTTTTCTTAAAGTTTAGAACAGTTTCTGTGTAGTAAAAAAAAAACAGGATGAATGACTCTTTAAAGGGATCTGGATCTTGACGAGCTGTTTGTTTTATCAAGCCATTCAAAAGAGCCCTTCACTTTTGAATGAGTGACATTATCACACTGGTAGATACAATGATGTCATCAAGTCACGTGAGCGAAACCCCCTCCCCTTTTCCCCTGAGCTGCTTGACTCCATCTCTCTGCCTGTTTTCCGTGATAAAGCGAAGGAGGATTGATTGTCTTTGTGGTTAAAGAGGAAAACATAAAGATATTACCAGTGTTGTATAAAGTACCACAAAGTGATACTTCAGTAAAAGTCTTAAAGTATCTGATATTTTTTGTACTTAAGTATTAAAATTAAAAGTATTGATTTAAAATGAGCAGTTATTTTCTGTAAGGACATTTATTAGGTGACCTCCCCAAAAAATGCAGAAATGACAATGTTGTATTAACATAATTAATTTATGTTAAATTTAGGATGCA